TATGCCTGAATTATGAATCCAGTCACCAAAAGGAACATAGATACTTGATAGGTGGATAGTCAGTGTTTAGTTATTTGACACCAGTGTTTAGTTATTTGACTCTGGATACATTGACAGTTTCATACACAAAGGAAAAGGAAGGATTACATAGCTATTGGGACACAAATAAATAAATTACTTCCTGTAAATATCAAGTCCTAATCATTCATCAATGATGAATGGCAGAATAGGGATGCCTTACTAAATCTGAGAGCTTATTAGCATACTAGCTATTTTAGTATACCAAATATATTGCCTTGCTAAATATCTCTTCTTACTGAGTAAAATTTCTGGTGTTGATTTGATATGAAATTACATCTTATGTTACTTTTTTTACTTGATGACTAAAATAAAAGTTGATATTCTCATATATCTTAAAAATTCACCTCTACAGGATATACATTGATTGGGCACTTATGGTTTATATAAGGTATGGTTACATAGGGCATAATGCTAGATATATGTTATTGATTTGCAAAAATAGGAATATAAGATGACTATGATAAATTCTGTTTTTAATAAGGTGAAACCTAATACAGCCAAATAAAGTAACAGTAAAATGAAATCAATACTATGATGAAGGAGACTAATATGAAAAGGAAAGACAGCTTGGATAGTAGAGTGGAATTCACTCAAATCCTCTAAGAATTTGACATTTTTATTCAATAGAATTTCTGTTCTTATGGATTTCTTTTTTCTCCAATGAGATTCTTTTAAAGTCTATGCAAGTGAGCTAAACAATATTATGAATCTGGGGTAGATTATAGAAGTTATTCAAATCTTATGACTGTATATAAGTAAAGGAATTAAATCACATTGTGTTTTCTATATGTTATTTCCATGAATATACACATGAATATTATATTTTAGATAGGTTAACTTTCTAATGATTTCCTTTCTATAATAACTGGGAACGCTACAAATATTTGCAATTCAAGTTAGGCCAGTAATTTTTTTTCTCTCAAGTATACAATTTTTTCCCCCAATTTGGCTATAACATGTTCATATAATATCAAATATATTGAGGTTAAGTTTCCAAAAGTCTACTCAATCTGACCCAATATAATTTAATAGAACATGCATTTTCCTCTCTGATAGTCTTTCAAAGGAAATTCTATTCCATTCAAGTTATATTCTATATAACAGAAAATATTGTTTATCAGGTTACTCATATATTTACCTAGTTCACATAGATCCAAATATTCCTTATACTATATAATAAAGACATTCTAGTTCTTTTTTAAAAATCAGATATATAAATTATCTGGATTACTGTCTGTTGTTTCCTCTTACAAATTTAATAATGCTTTGTATTATTTACTGCATAAAATGATTGTTCTCTTAAATAACAACCTTGAATTTAAAATCTATGCAGATGGAGATTTCATCTATCAATGCATGTGGAAAATTTGGTTGACAAGTAGTCTATCCTGAAGCCATTTGACAGTCTCAAGGCAAAACAATAAATATTTGTCCAACTACAATCTTCAAACCCATTCTTCATATCTTAACACTTCTTTTATCAACTTTATACAATAGATGAGGAAAAAAGTAATGAATGTTTTAAATAGTAATCTCATTTCAAAATCATGTTTTTCTGCAGGTTACCATTTGAATTTTGTATTGGATTCCTTAATGAGGCAAATTATGTCTTTGCCTGCCGCGGGGGGTGGGTTTCTAACTTAGTTTTACTATAAACTTAAATGTTCACTTACGGATATATAAGAATTTAGACTACACAAAAAGAGTGAGTTTCATGTCCCTTCCCTTGCAAGCAGTATCTACTGGAATGGTGTAAAAGTGGATTATCAAAGGTTATATAACCTGTATCAGTGGCTTCTATGTAAAGAACTCAATCTCCATAAAAACCATTAGTGTTGACTTTTGTGAAAATGGATCCGAATTAGTCAACTGGGTATCTATGAACTAAAAAAGCCAAAATAGCATAAATTCCAAAATTATTCTTTAAAAGAAAAAAATCAAGTATACTATACTGTGGGAATGAAAAGAAAATCAGTAAGGCTTAACTCTTCCCTCTAAGGATTTTACATTATTATTGGAGAGTTTTATTTAGTGAACTTCTTTGATGTATTTTTGAATTAAAGGGAAAATTCTTTTTTTGTTATTCTTGCAATTTAGCTCAAAATTTAGAGGTTAATCTTAATATAACCATTGAGCTAATTATTATATTGTCAGAAATATGTCCCCAAATATTGCAGACCATTTTTAATGAACATATATTTAGTATTTCAAAATTTAATGCTTCAAAATTTATGTAATTAATGGCTTGGCAATATGACAATGCTATGATTAACATTTTCTATGATGCATTCTGAGACAAGGTGTAAGTTTGCTAAAATTTGATTCAATTTTTTGTAACATAACTTGCCACATTTTTTACTTTCTATTGAAAATAAGATTTTTTTTGTCTAAGTCTAACATAGTCAAGTGTAACCTTGGTGATTTTGCCATAATTTAAAATAACTTCTTCATAAGTATATTGAATATTCTCACTAGCGTTAAATCCTTCCCACTATACATTACTGTAAGAAAAAGAGCAAGTTGCATATTCTTATTTCAATATAAATGTAGACTAAAAGAAGACATTTGTCTCATTTTTCACAATATGATTGAAAAACTTGAGAAACTAAAGTTATTATTGTCACAGAAAATAGTAAACAGAACATGAACTTAGAAATAAATTAGAGCTAAGATCAAGTAATAATTTGACATCTTTTCTAGCCCTGTAATTTTGAACTTAGTTTCATAAATTATGTTTATTTAGAGCCATCCATAAAATTAGACCAACAGAGAGCATTACTGTAAAAATAGTGCCCTATCTAAAGTGTTTGGTATGATCGCTAACCAAATGAAGACATAAAATGTGTTTGTTTCCTTTTTTTAACCAGTGAAGAATGGTGGAATTTTAATGAAAAGTATTTTTATTCAGAATACATTTAAGTTATTTCTATGTATATTGCAAATACATGCCAAATAAACTAAAACTAGCCCTAAGGCAGATGTGTTTGGTTTCTTTATATGTGTCTTCCTCTCAGTTTCCATATCCACCCTTCCCAGCCTCAAAGATAGAGCTTAGTACAGCAACTACAGGGTGAATCAATGTTAAACGAGTCAAAGACTGGCAAGAACAAGTAATTCATTGGTAAGGATTTGCACCTCCACTAGCACATTGTTCATTTGCACACTGTTTTAAATAGGCAAGAGATGAAGGCATCAGTTCTTTGGTTTAATGTTTATAACTACTGAAACCTCATCTCCCACAACCTGTCAAATCAAATGAGACCACAAAAAAGTAACTCAAAATGAATCATAGATCTAAATACAAAATGTAAAACTATAAAGCTCCCAGAATATCACATAGGAGAAAATCTCGATATCTATGAATATCATGATTTTTTAGATGCGACATCAAAGGAGCAATCATAAAAGAAAGAATTGAGAAGCTGGATTTCTTTAAAATAAAAATGTTCTCTAGAAAAGACACTGTCAAGACAAATCAGATGAGAATTTTCTTTTTTTGGAAAGGACACAGCTGATAAAGGACTGTTATCCAAACTACATAAAGACTCTTAAAACCCAACAATAAATAAAACAGCCCAATTTAAAAAATTGACAAAATACTTGAATAGAAACTGCACCAAAAAAATAGATGTCAAATATGAATATGAAAAGATGTCCAACACTGTGTCATCAAGGAAAGGCAAATTGTTACCACCATAACACTGACAGCTCTAATCCTCATGAAGATGTGAAACATCAGAAACTTTAATTCATTAATGATGGGCAAGCAAAATGACACAATTACTTTGGAAGATAGCTTGTCATTATCTTACATAATTAAACACACAAACACACCTTAGTATTTACCAAAAGTAATTAAAAACTTATGTCTACGCAAAAGCCTTCACATATATATATATATATATATATATATGAAAAATTATTGAATTAGGTATCTTCACTTTGAATACATTGAAAATTTCATGTGCAGAGGAAAAGGATTACATACCTATTGAGACAAATTGCTTCCTGAACATTTATCTTAAAAAGGAAAAACTATAGCAGCAGTGAAAATATCAGTGACTGCCAAGGGTGAAGGAGGAGGGAAGGCTGAACAAGTAAAGCACAGAGGATTTTTCATAGCAATATTCTGTAGGATACTGTAAGGGTAGACACATCACACATATCACTACATCAAGAGTGGGCCCAAATGTAAACCACAGATTTTGGGTGATAATGTGTCACTGTAGGTTCATCAATAAAAACTAGTGTACAGTTCTGGTGAGAGATGATGATAGAGACTATGCATGTGTGGGGACAGGGTACACAGGAAATCTTATACTGAGTTTTGCTGTGAATCTCAAACTTCTTTAAGAAACAAAATTCACACAGGAAAAAAAGGAAAGACTATAATGAAATCCAATGCAAGAAAACGTATGGAGGAAACATAGATTGTCTTCTCTTTCCATCTTTTATATACTAAAGCCCAACTGATAGCAAGTCAGGGGCCGATACAAGCAGGATGGTCTCAGTGATATAGAGTGAACACAAAAATCCTTAAGACAATAAATTTTAGAAAACTCTGGATCCCACAGAAGTATTCAAATGCAGAACCAATAAATTCTGACCTTTTCACGTTGCCAGTATATAAAAAGCAGTGTGTCATCAACTAGGAAACCAATCTAATCAATAATTAATATATGAGAATGATGAGGAAAACCAATAAGAATATTATGGGAAAGAAATAAACATTATTGATAACAACTTTGGAAACAGTGAAACCACTACACAGGAAGAAAGTGGACTCTAATTCAAGAGTTTATAATCTATATTAACAACAAGTTCAGATTCACATTGCATCCCACTGCTTTTTTAGGGACTTGGAACAAACTCCTTTCAATTATGATTATCAACTGAGAACTTCAGTTATCATTACTGACCTGTAATTAGGCGCTGTCCTTGGCATTCAATCCATGAATACTCAATGTGGAAACTTCCTCAGATGGTGGGTAACAGCAAGTGAAAGACGAATCTAAACAGTAAGGAGTGATTGTCCTTTCCTCTCCCACAATAATATGGAATGTAGCCCTGAAACAATGAAAATAAGGACAAAAGCTCAGTAGAACTGATTACATGATAATCAAATGTTAGCGAAACAACCTCCAAGTCATTCTGAGGGGGCTGCCCTGCTCTTGAGCTTCCTGCTCCCCGCTCTGCCAGCAGGGCCATGGAGCAGGCAGGGGACGGTGGACCAGAGCCTTGCCACCCAGCCAAGCCTCACCCCAACCACATAGCCAGGCACTGACAGGAGATCATCACCAGCTAGATGGGAAAGTTGGAGCTTTTCACCTCATCCTGATTTCCTGAAGTAGGGCCACAGGGAGCACAGGCCCTACTGTGCACAGGCCAGAGGGAGCACAGGCAGGCAGAACCTTTTACTCCATGTGCAGAATCCAGCTCCCCCTCTGCTCTATAGACAGATGCACGGTCTTCTCTTCAGGAGGCTTCCACTTACACATACACCGTGTCCCATCTCATTGCAGTCTCTGCTCAGCAGATACGATCTACAGCAGGCCTGACTGCATCCAGCCAAGAGCTGGCCTATTGTTTTTCTCTCTCGTCCCCCTCCTCTTTGTCCTCCTTCCTTCCCAGTTCTCTCTTCTGTCCCTTCTGACTCCCTGTTAAATGGCTGTCTCTCTTTCTGGGTGCCCTGCACTCTTAAGCCCTTGGCTGAAGGCTCATTCCATTTGTTTCAAATATACAAAGCTTTTGGATATACAAAATAAAATGTGCTGTAAGATTCTAAATATATGTAGAATTAAATTTAATTACTCATTTATCACTTATTTGTAAGACAGCAAGCTAGGAGTAAAAGGAAACTTCCTTACTATGAATTGATACATAGCTTCAGATTCTGAATGTTTAAACTATGTCAATTCTCCCAAATTTATAGCAAGGCCAAACAAAATTCCAGATATAAAAACTGTGTATAGAATATTGGCTAGACAAAGATTCAGGACAAGAGTGGGCAGTCTCTACAGTAATGTTTCTGAAATGTTTCACTTCAGGACTCTTACACAAGGTCTTAAAAATTCTTAATGATTCCAACAAACTTTGGTGTATACAACATAGATCTACAATCAATATTTTAAAATTAAGACCAAGCAATTTTATAGTATTGTCACTTAAACCAACATGAATAAAACTATTCCTTTTTAATATTATGTACATATTTTATAAAATAATACCTAATTCCCCAGAAGAGTCAAGAGTGGAATTATTTACATTTTATAATTCTCTTTAATGTCTCTTTTAGGAGGAGCAGCTGAATTTTCATAGCTGAGTTCGCATTTTATTGCAGTATCAAATTATGTAACCTCAGGAAAATTTCACTATTTACTCATGAGAAAATCAGAGTAAAAAGAGGCAAATGATACCTTAGTATTAAATTGTTTTGACATTCAAACTCCCTGTAAGGGTCTAAAAGAAACCAAGAGTCTCTGGACAATGCTTTAGTTTCCCTCATGCCAGTTTGATCTTAGATTTCAGGATATAGATGATCTTATAGAAGCACCTTGCCTGAATCACATTCAACTATCACAGCATGGAACTTAGTATTTTTGAAAGAATATGAAAGCCCACGCAGAATAATATGTCAGGGAAAAGCACATTCATGGATTGGCTGTAATGGCAGACAAATTTGCCATATAAGTGAGGTAAATCTTTCAAAACAAGGTTCAGCTGTCATTTTTATTGATGTTTCAGCAAATCTTTGGCTAAAATGGAAGAGGATTTATATGGATGCTGATGGGAAATCCTTATCAGAAGAGAATAATGTAGGAAATTTAAGGCAAGCTTTTATATAGGGATAGTAGAAATTTAGGTAAACATATGAAATGGGTAGGATAGCAGTTTGGGGTAGAATTAATCATAAATAAATATTATTAAATGTTTTAGGTAAAACTATTAAACATGCATATTGGCATACACAAACATACAATCCTGTCAGAATTCATACAAAATTAGTGCACTTAAGGCACCATGTATGATCAGTAATTTATTTCGGAGAAGCAGTTGAGGAAAAGGGAATTGTAACACTTATGATTTGTATAGTCATAGAAATGAGAGGCCAAAATCAAGCAAACAAAAAGCTAGAGTTTGAACAATATAATACTACTTTCGTAAATCTCTACTTTTCGTCTTTTAAAAACAGAAAAAATAAGGCTGTAGAGGGATGTATATAGTTCACCAATAAGGACTATCTTAACATTTGAGAAGTACAAGTCTGACCATTCCAGATAAAATGGTTGTTACAAGAAGGAATAAATTAGGTAGTTTGTTCCAAGTAGGGTAATACAGTTCAAGCCAGGTAGGGTAGATGAATCCCTGCCTTCTCAACAGTTGTATCCAATGCCAGCACTGACTAGACCAGTTCTGGAAAACTAGCTATACTAAAAGGCTTGGTTTGGTCTGTAATAATTGCATTAATACATGCATTTTATCACTATGTCTTTCGTTTCTGTTGCTACTAAATGAACATGGAGGTGCCAAGAAGAACCTCAGGAGTAAACGAGAATGAAGGAGGAAAACAGCCTCTTAGCATTTAGTTTTAATGCTAATATTAATAGAGTGAACAAAGATGAGGATTTGAATTTTCCAGGACTGGAAGAAGTTCCAAGCTAAGGAATCAAACTTAGTCTAAAAGACAGAAGTCTACAAACAATATAAAATAACATGGAGCAAGGAATGTCTCTTCAATGAATGGTATCGGCAAACTTGGGCAGCAACGTGCAAAAACTAGATTAATTCAAAATCAATTAAAGTCTTGGATACAAGACTCCAAATCACAAAATGCATACAAGAAAACACAGGTGACATACTACTGGAAATCAACGTCAGATGTATTTGGGAGTTACCTCCAACAGCAAAAGAAAAAGCAGGCAAATGGGATTATAGCAAACTAAAAAGCTTTTGCAGAGTGAAAGAAACAACCACAAAAACTAAAATCCAAACTATGGACCAGATGGAAATTATTTGCATATCACACATTTGACAAGGGGTTAATTTTCAAAATATATAAAGAACTCACATAACTCAACACCAAAAACACCTCCCCCCCCAAAAAAAAAAAATAAGCAAAAGACCTAAATAGACATTTTCCCAACAAACGCTGAAGTGACCCACCAACACATGAAAAACTGCACAGCATCACTGAACAGGGAAATGCTAGTCAAAACCACAATGGAATACCACCTCATACCTGTGAGATTTTCCCATGTTGGATTAAAAAACAGCAACAATAAATGCTGATGAGGACGTGGTGGGGAATGAATGCTCAACAGGACTATTGGTGGAGATGTAACTTGGTGTACCCTCTGCAGAAATGGTATGGGGATGCCTCCAAAAACTAAAAATGGAAATACGGTATGATCCAGAAATATCACTGTGCTAGGTACTTTTACCCAAAGCACTAATACAAAAAGATTTATGCACTCTGTTGTTCATAGCAGCAATATTCTCAATAGCCAAGTAAACTAACCAACTGAAATACCCATTATCAAATGACTAGATAAAGAAGTTGGGGAACATTAGGTCTCTCTGTTGGCACAGGAGTTAAAGTCTCAGTGCTATCAAGCTATTGCCAGCCACTGTGGCATGAGTTTGATCCCCAGCCACGGAGCAAGCAACATGGTGCAGCAGACCTCTCCTGTCTCACCGGCCCTCCCCTCAGTAGTGTTATTTCAGTCAATCTGCCTGTTCTGCTCCCTACTCTGTCTCTGGTGAATCCTCTCACAGCCCCCTACACCTCTGGCCTACACCCCAGTTCTTGTATGCATAAAAATAAATATTTAAAAACAAGTTGGGGGGCATATACACAATGGACTACTACTCAGTGATTAAAAATATATTATACCTCTTCTGGCAGTATGGATGGAACTTGAGATAATTATGCTAAATAAGTCAGAAAGTAAAAGACAATTACCAAATGATTTCACTCATTTGTGTAATAGGTATGACCAAAAAAATAGACTGGCACACACAACAAAAATGACTCAGACTCTGTGACAAATATGGTGGCTACAAGAAGGAGGTATGTACATGTTGAGGTTTAAAGCTGTCCTCCTAAAATTTAGTTATGTAGATAAATAGAAATCATTAACATTTGATTTTAAAAAGTTTTGTATTTATTTTACCTCTGTTGCTAACTGAATATATTATTCTAATTTTCTTTAAAATATCTTCTGAGTATATTTAATGTAAAATGATACAACTAAGCAATTGGTCTAGCCACCACCTTGTTATGTTTGATTCTTATATGATAATTTAAAGCTAAGCAATTAAATATAGTTCATGGGGGAAAAAATAAAATAGTGCTCAACACTTTTTAAATTTAATTCTCATAACATTAAAATATATATTAAATATTTTCATTGAAAATAATGTGGATAGTTGCATTACCAACTATATAAATACATATGTATACACATACATTAGACATGCACACATACACACACCATCAATCTGACTCAGAATGCCTTGGGAAATTAAAAAAATCAGAATTCCTGCCACCACTTAACCATTGCTTGGCAATATGAGCTACAGGAATGCAGATGTCCTTCTGTGAAGCTCTGTGAATCATTGAATCATATTACCAACTTTTATTATCATCAAAATGAAAAGCCTAAAAGCTCAATTGGATATTACAAAGGACATAAGTTTTTTGCCATGTCAAAGTCAAATCCAAAATTCCAACTTCTTAATTCAAGGCAAATACCAACAACTTATTCAAATATGATATTTATTTATTTTAAAGAATTAACTTCTTGTGGGGCATTTTTGTTCAGTTTACATTTATGTGTTTTTTAAAGGGAGGCATTCTTTTCCATTTTAAACTTGGAATATGGCAATTATTTTTTAATTGACTTTTTTTAAAGATGATTTCTATTTCCAATACAAATCAAAATAAATGGCATCAAAAAATTCGTGTCTTTATGTTCGTTCTATTTTTACAGAGTGGAGAGCTAGTAGGGAGGCCCACAATTCATCACCAGGTTCTCAAAATTTTACATAAAGCAAATTAAGCAAAA